AACTCACAGCTCAGAGAATGACACACCACCACCACAATACTGTTTTTTTTTCTATATTCACATTATTAATTACTGATCAATGATGTACTTTCGATTTTTTTAAATTTTTCTCTTTTCAAATCTTTTCATCACTTAATTTTGTATGTAAAAAAAAAAAAATAAAAAAGGAATTCGTCTATTTCTTGGTTCAAATCAACCACGTGCTAGTCGATTAGCTAAACAATTCGTTCGAAAATTGTCAGAATTAGCTCATTGGTTTGAAAATCAATCAACTTATCATTTCTATGCTAGTTCATTATTATTAGCCTATGATACTGTCGCCTTGAATAGTTCTCCTCCTACTCCTGCCTATCAGCATCATCAACAGCAACAGCAGCCGCTGAAACATTCACACTGTATTAACGATTGTACACAACTAGACGAACCTACTGAACCATTCACCACCTCGTCATCATCGTCAGTAGCAGTAAACGCAGTAGTTGACAGTATGGCAACCAATAATAGTAATAATAATGAGACAACGGCAACCGTAACATCATCATTATCATCAGGTGATGAAGAACAAGACATACAAGAGGAAGATCATGTCTTAGTGTATTTGATTGATTTCACCCGTTGGGAATTAATGTCCAATTCGAATAAAATGAAAGATGAAAATTTTTTATATGGTTTAAATTATTTAATTAGTTTATTTAAACGTGCATCAGTTGAATCGACCACCACGACCACGACCACCATCACCACTATTGATTGACAATAAAAAGTTTTGTATTTTTGTGTAAAATGTATGTATGTATGTACAGTATAGTAAGTAGTATATTAAGTAGTATATGTATGTATGTATGTTCAATTTCTCCTTTTTTGTTTTCTTTGTTTTGAATCGTGTTGTTAACATTTTTATTGATGATGATGATGATGATTATTAATTATTTTTTGATAAAAACAAATATCACAATGTATGTGTGTGTGTGCGTGTATTCAATGATCAATGAATGTATCGTGCTCATTTTTTTTCTAAACAAATTGTTTTTTTTTGTAAAACTGATCCCCTCCCGCCAAAAAAGTTTTTTTTTAAAAAATATCATAGTCTTTCACTATTGTTATTATTATTACTTGACTATTCTTGTTTAATTGTAATTGTAGTATGAGCGTTTCTTTTTTGAAAAAATTGAATTTTTTGATTCCTGATACTATAACTTTTGTTTAAATTCGATAGAACAGTTGGGCGCCAAATTAATTTAAAAAAAAATTTATAATGAGAAGAATGATGATACATAGTTGTAGAGGTAGAAATATCAGTAGATAAATACCCGGTGATATATCTAATCCAAGCTTGTTGACAATGTGAATAACATGATTCGTTGTAGTGTGTAAAAAATGAATGTATTGAGAAAGTAATAGTTATGTTATGAATACGTGTAAATGAAAAGAGGAATTGTATGATCGAAATCGTATAATTGAATATGAACGGAGTGAAGTAGTTGAGTGTGTTGACCGCTTCACTTATCTGGGGAGTCTCGTCAGTGCTGATGGCCTGGTGACTGACGAAATCTCAGCACGGATACAGAAGGCTCGATTAGCTTTTGCCAACCTGTGTCACTTATGGCGTAGGCGAGATATCCATTTGCTAACCAAAGGATGAGTGTACTGCGTAGAAATTCACTCCGTCTTACTTTATGGCTGCGAAACATGACCAGTTAGGGTAGAAGATGTTTGCAGGTTACTCGTTTTCGATCATATGTGAATTAGAAGCATCGCTCGTATATCCTGGGACAACCGATTGAGCAACGCTGTTATTAAGAAACGGGTGCTAGGTAAGAATGGCAGATCGAAAGACGAGGTAATGAAACTTCATCAGTTGAGATGGTTGGGACATGTGCTGAGTATGCCTAACCACCGACTACCTCACTGAGCTATGTTTTGTAATGTAGGAATAGGTTGGGAGAAAGTTAGGGGCGGCCAAACCAAAACATGGCACAAATGCATGAAGTCATTGACAAGTGAACTGAGTGATGTCGGTAATTGTCGACTACCTGGTTGGGGTTCGCGAGATGGTAATAATCGATGGTTAGATACCCTGAATGACATGGCTCAAAACCGTTGGCGCAATGGCGCCGGTGCATTTATTCTTTGTGTCATCTCAAATCCTAATCTCCTGGATTTTTTAACATCTCTAGTTCTGTCTTTCTAAACTTATCTCACTGAATCATACTTCTTGAATAATAAAAATCTTCTAATCCTAACCTCTCCGATTACTTCTCATACGTTTTATTATCTCTTCTACTATTGGATTTGAATTGACAATTACATCTCTGTGTGTGCTTATGTGGTATGGCAACATGAACTGATGTACTTACGTACGAAGTTCTACGTTGCGTCTGACGGATTGTCATAGCATACATAAACTGATGGCGATCATGTGAACACAAATAAAAGGATTTGTGGCCAATGCCAATGTATTGATCAAGAGCTGATTGTTCATCAGTCAATCAATTTCAACGTAGAACTTCGTACGTAAGTACATCAGTTCATGTTGCCATACCACATTAACACAGAGGTGTATTGTCAATTCAGATCCAATAGTAGAAGAGGTATTAGCAATATGTGATTCAAGAAGTAGAATCTAGTGAAATAGACATAAAAAGATAAATTGATGAAGAATTAAAAAGTTTAGGATTTGAGAAAACACAAAGAATAAATGCACCTGTGCCATTGCAAACGGTTTTCAGCCATGTGATTCAGAGTCTCTAACCATCGATTACTAACATCTCAAGGACCCGCTGATTGTTCATTGTTTATTTAGATCAATCAAATGATTCGTACAAGTGTGAAAGTATTCGATATCGTTCAGCAATAATAAGATGATCGAAAAAAAAGAGGGACAGATCAAGTTTACTTATTGATTGTGATGGGATAGATAATTATATCTCATATATATTCTAATAATATTGTGTGGATTTCGCCATATGTGTGACAGACTTCAACTGTTAGTCTCTTATTGTGACATTGAGCTTAATGCTATCGTTGTCTTCTTCTCTAGTCTTCTACATGCAGGAATCGAACCCAGGAACTTCGGTCTGGTGCGCAGACGCTTAAACTCTAGACCAACCAACTGCGCAAAACCGAAGGTCCCCGGTTCTATTTCCGCATGCAGAGGTCGTGGGTGCGCACTGTCACTGATGAGTCCCATAATAGGACGAGACGATCGTCTTGTTCTTCTAGGTTTCTAATGATGGTCTAACATGGATCGATTCATAATTTCAAGAAAAGTAATTCAACAAATCTCCACAACCCTACAATGAGAATATGATCTTGCTGTACTTTCAGTCAAAAAATGGAGATTATTCATGCTGATAACCAGATAAATTAGATGCAGACTGAGTAAACTAAATTTGTAAATAAGTGATTACTATTAATAGTATTATTTAAAACAGCACTACGATATTGATCGAAACAACTGATTAATTCACTAACCATTAATGTAAAAAAACTTTTAATGTATGCATATTGATAGCTTAAATCTTCTTATTAATACTTACGACTGTAATTGATCAATCTTTTTTAATAACTGTATGTAGGATTTAATTTGTCCTACAGATGTACTTCTAGAACGGTAAACGCAATATTGGCGGACATTGAGTCTATGGGAAAGCTATATAGTCAGAACAAGATCAACTTTTACTTTAAACTTTATTTTTTTCTAAATATAAAAACAATTAAATTAGTACAATAAATAAGGAAATTACAGTTATCATCAAGTAAGACGGGCAAACATACCGACCAATGTATAGCGTGTCTTATGGAAATGAATAAAGTTATGAGTCACATCAATAATGATAAGATAATAATGTCCTTCAATTTGTAGGTCATTTACAACAAAAAAGGATTACAGAAACGTCAGGTCGGATCACGTGATGAACGATTAAACCACAATTTGATTGGCTAGTTATGGTAATAACTACAATTAGTTATGGAAATAACTAACACTCCCCCCGAAGCGGTCACCACGTCTAGGCTCCGTTGCCGTCGCGCTCGAATAATTGACCTCTTCCAGTAGGCATAGGTTTCATATATCTCGGTTGATCTCTACGGTGTCTGTCTGCAATCGTATCGTTCTGACTCGGCCATCTGTAGCACAACTGACCTGTCTAACTATAGCTTTCCCATAGACTCTAGAATTACATCTGTAGGACAAATTAAATCCTACAATGTACATTTTTCATGGGTTGCCTGAATATCGCCATTACTTACTTACGACCGTTATCCCTAACGAAACATAGGTCGCCGACTAGAGAATTATTTTCTTGGTTAGCGTTTTTTTAGCGAGTTAGGTATCTACGAGATAGGGTCGATAATACCCATGCCTAAGCCTCCTCCTTTATCCAGGCTTGGGACCGACGGAAACCCTAAAAGGGCTCCAGGAAGAGTTGCATATTACAATGAAGTCGCAAATAATTCTAAGCAGAGATAGATGGTGGCTAACAGGCCATGCGTCTCGTTCTATTTTTAGACTGGTTAGTTAAATGCACTTGTATCACAAGGGATTGGTGTTCAGCTCGGCACTCGAATCCAGTTGCGTTCTCTGCAAACGCCATCAAGTTGTCTACTTGACTACTGAGTCCAGATAAGATACTGGCTTGTTCAATATGGACAATTTCAACTGGTATGCAATAGTAATCGACTAGATTATGAAGACGTCAACATCTGGAGGGAAGCACGGTAAGGTTATACGATACAATACAACATGCGCCAACCAAATCACTCTTGATGGACACGGCTTAGAGGACGTTAACACCTTTACATATCTGTGCATCATCATCGACAACCAAGCTGGGTGCGATGCAGATGTGAGGGCGCGGACTGGCAAAGCAAGGGCTGCATTTCTACAATTGAAAAATATCTGGAACTTCAAACAAGTATCAATCAACACCAAAGTCACAATTTTCAATACAAATGTCAAGACAATTCTACTGGATGGGGCGGAAACTTGAAGAACTACTAAAGTCATCATCCACAAGATACAAGTATTTATTAACAGTTGTCGTCAAACACCATCAGCAACAACTTACTGTGGTACAGAACAAACCAGATTCCAGCGGAGTTGGAAATCAGGAAGAATTGGTGGAAGTGGATAGGGCAAAAACTACGAAAAGCACCAAACTGCGTCACAAGACAAGCCATCACCTGGAACCCTCAACGTAAAAGGAAAAGAGAAAGGCCAAGGAACACATTACGCCGAGAAACAGAGAAAGATATGAGAGGAATGAACAAAAATTGGACAGAACTGGAAAGGGAAGACCAGGACAGAGTTGGTTGGAGAAAACGGGTCGGTGGCCTATGCTCCCATTGGGGGTAACATGCGTAAGTAAGTAATACAATAGTAATAGTTTATAGTAGCGGTCGTACATTACATATTATTTTGAGTGTTCCAGTCAATTAATCTTGATTAATGTGTGTATAGAATTCACAAAATCAATAAACACTGAGTTATCTATGTACTTTTTTTTTCATGGAATATCTACATGAAGTTAGTGATCTTCATTGCTTGACAAGATGCTTTAAAGGGCTACCAAAGTCAGGAGTATGAAGAGTATATTTCCGGGCTCCGAAATGCCTTGATACGACAGAGAGTCTGGTCTCCCCATTTCAAATGCTCTCACATAATCACGTGTATTGCCCTCTCGAGGCGGGTGTTGTTTAAGAAGTCGAATATCCGACTACGGCTTACACCCTAATTCGAAACCAATGATGTATACAAGATTGTGAGGGGATAAATAGTGTGTGAACATTTGGTTGGTTGGCTACAAACAGGACTGCATACCTTAGCTAAGTTCTCCTGCCTTTTGGATTAAACCTCGAGGTCAAAAGCTCAAGGAATGTCCCCCTAGAAAATCATACAGTTCGCTTTGGGCAGCTAGGTATCCCAGCCCACAAACAACTTCAATGATTTTTATAGTGCATATACTTACTTTAAGTAGGTTTAATCTTTAAAATTTATCAATTTCTCAGACCAACTTGATTGGTTTGGTTATATATTAACGAAAATACTTACTTTGGATAATCGAATGAGGCTACTAGATTTTAGGTCAAAATTAATTTTTTTGTATCTTCGTACGCTTTTGCTTACTAGCTATCATTTAGTATGAGTTTAGTCCGCAGTACTCATCGGTTGACAGTTTGTATCGCCCCAAAATTTTAGGTTTGATTGTAAAACTCCTATTACTTCATAACAAAATCCTTATGAACTCTCCAGTCTATAATTATCGGCCTTTTTCCAATTAAAGTGTTTTTACACATTTAAATAATCAATCAATCATTGTTAGACCACCACTAGAAACCTGGAAGCACTAGACAGCCGTTTAGTCCTGGTATGGAACTCATCAGAAGTGCTCATCCACGACTTCTGTACCTCACAGGACTCGAACCCAAGACCTTGTACTTTAAAGACTTAATTGATTTAGATCTTAGGTAGAACCGGGAAAACTGGACGTAGTTTCATCTAACTGTTCTCAATCACTGATTGTCCCAGTCTATAAGAAAGGAAAAGTCCTCATGTGACAAGCACAGAGGAATCAGTTTAACTAATATAGTGTCTGAAATATTAGCTTCACGAATACTTCGACGACTAACTAGAGCTAGTGAAGACCAGACGCAAGAAAATCAGACTGAATTCAGAACTGGACGTCGATGTGAAGACCTAATGTATTCACACTTCGATAAGTTATACAACATAGACAGACATTTCAATGTCTGATAATAGTTGTTTCTCCGACCTTAAAGCGGCATTTGACTGTATTGATCGTGAAGTTCTGTGGTAGTGTCTTTCAGTGAAAGATGTACTAAAGAAGTACAATAACCTTATACAAGCTCTCTAATCGAACAATACTGGTCGAGTGACAGCTTATGGCAAACTATAGTCGGAATCGATTACTTCAAGTGGTGTTTGTCAGGGCTATCCACTCTCTCCATTCATATTCAACTTTGTCATCGACATGCTTTTGGAGACGACACTCTCATCATCTGACTTTTCAGGAGTTAAACTTCAACCAGGAGACCCGCTGGCTGACATAGTTGTGTTTGGTGAAAACGCTGTCTTCTGACCACGTAAAGCAACAATGCGAGTTTGTTCATGATACGGTTCTCGCCCTCAAAATGCAAAATGTTTCTTCAGGATTAGCTTGTATAGGAACCTGAACTAGTGACAGAGAGTGAAGTGGTCAAAAGTTGATTGCTTCACTTCTCTTGAAAGTCTCACCAGTCCTGATGATCTGTTGTGACGAACTCTCGGAACGGATAAGGGTCGACTAGCTTTTACCAACTTGCATCAATTAAGTTGTAGGCCAGATATTCGTCTATTGCGTATCAGTCCGCCCCGTCCTACTTTACGAGTGTGAAACCTGGCCCTTAAGATTAGAGGATATTCTTAGGTGACTAGTATTCGATTACAGGGGTCTTCGAAGCATTCCTCGTAAATCCTGGGACAATTTAGTAAACAATTATGTTGTTACGAAAAATGTACTAGGTAAGGATCGCACATCGATTGATGAAGTAGTGAACCATTATCGGTTCAGATGGTTATCACATGTTTTACGTATGCCTAATCATCGCCTACTTCGACAGGCTATGTGCTGTCTAATGTAGGAGTAAGCTGGAAGAAAGTTAGTGGTGGTCAGACTCATACATGACACAAATCCATGAATTCACCGACAGCTGGACTGAAACATATTAGTAGGTGTTAGGATATTCATCCAATATTCTAAGAGAATTGGAGGTCAATTCCTATTGGTTAATTTCTACTGGTCAATTTTATGATCGTCCTAGATATCAATGTCACATGCTCCAATGTTGTTTCTTATTGGTCGTCTTAACTGTCAATGTCACAGACTTCGATGCTGTTTCCTATTCGACCTAAATGTATAAATACGCATTATCTGTAACGTTTTATGACCTGGATCCCTAGTCAAGGATCTTGATTCTCTTCTGGATGCTTGTAGAATACAGGTTCTACTTCATATCAAGTCTTCTTATTTTTACTCAATATGAGGGTTGGGGCAATCGGATTTGAGTAGCATGTCGTGTCGCTGGATCCTCGCTCTTGTTTTCCGACTAGGTAAACTCGTAGTAGTTCAAGCATATCAAAATGACGTGTTTATGTGTAGGCGTAACAGTAGGTACATAGTAACTGGTTGGGGTCCGCGAGACAATAATAATTGATAGTTAGAAACTTTGAATGGGGGTGGCTCGAAATCATTCGCAATGGCGCAGAGATATCCGTTCTTTGTTTCCTCTCAAATTCTAATCTTCAGAACTTTTCATGACCTATTATTCTACTTTTCAAATTAACCGAAATGGATCATATCTTGGATCCGTAATCTTTTCGATAAGCGTTTTATACTTCTACTGCCTCTACCATTATAGGATTTAAATAGAGTTGAATCTCATCTCTTTATGAGCTAATGTGGTATATAGGCAACTTGAACTGATGATGTACGTACGTATGTTGTAGCTGACTTACTAACTGACTCACTGAATTATCATCATTGTTTACAAGGAAACAAGATCACTAGAGAGTTAGTACTCAATCAGTCAATCAACTACAAATTAAAACTTCGTACGTAAGTACATCAGTTCATGTTGCCATACCACATTAGCACACAGAGATGAAATGGTCAATTCAAATCCAATAGTAGAAGAGGTAGTAAAGGTATTAGAAGTCATCGGCGAGGTTAGGATTAGAAGATATTATTCAAGAAGTATGATTCAGTGAGATAAGTTTAGAAAGACAAAACTAGAAGTGTTGAAGAATCCAGAAAATTAGGATTTGAGAGAACACAAAGAATAAATGCACCGGCGCCATTGCGCCAACGGATTTTAAGCCATGTCATTCAAGGTCTCTAACCATCGATTATTTTATCATCTCACGGACCCCAACCAGGTGGTAGTCGTAGTCGACAACTACCGCCGATATGACTCAGTCCACTTGTCAATGACTTTAATGAATTTCTACCATGCTTTGGTCTGGCCGCCCCCCGCTAACTAACTGACTGACTCACTGATGTATGCATCAAGAAACAAGATCACTAGAGAATTCATAAAATAAACAATTTACTCTGGTTATATAAGCAAATAACACCTGAAATACAACTCATAGTAATAAAATAAACACACACGAAAACACACACACAAACAAAAAACGTAATTTTCATCGGTTAAGTATTCATATTGAATATTGAATATTGTGACTATACAATCTCATCAATATTTAGCAAAGTAACCAAATTAAAAAAAATATACAACAACGATCATAAACACCCTTGTTCACCATAAATTTTTAATCACAATCACAATGATGATGAGGATCACGAATGATGATGAATGTTATCACAAAAATAATAATAATAATTAATAAAATGTAAAATTAATTAAATAATTAATTAATCAATTAAAAAATAAATTATTCATCACACAAACAATTGGATTTCATTTTGTTTGTTTGTGGTTGTGGTCGCTGTTGTTGCAATACTACTTAAACACACACATTTTCTTTTTTGTTCACAAACCATTTCAACTTTATATCAATGAATGAATGAATGAATGATCAAGTTGATGAGTGTGTGTAAAGAGAGTGAGAGAGAGAGATGAGAATGATTCACGATTTATTGTTTTAAAGATAAGCCGATAGCTAAAGCAATAATAAATAATATTAATAGGACAAGGCCAAGAAGAATACATTTTCGTCGTCTTGCGGATTTACGATGTTTTGTTGCAGTGCTCAGTTGTTCTGCACCACTTTGAACCTTGGAAAGGAAAGAAAATCGATAAAATGGGATAAATGAAGTAAAGTAAACACACAGACCGATTTAAATAGCTTCTACAAATTTCTGGACTAATATATATATATATATAATTGTTATTAAATTACATGAGAGAGACAGATGGACAGATACAACGCCGAACTTCGTACGTACGTACATCAGTTGTTCAAATCCAAGAGTGATAGCAATAGTAGAAGTATTAGCAGTAATGGAGAAGATGAAGGAGCGAAGATATGATTCGAGAAGTATAATTCAGTGAGATAAATTTAGAAGGAGAAAGGTAGAGATTATGAGGAATTCATAAGGTTAGAATTTCATAGAACACAAAGAGTAAATGCACTTGCGCCATTGCAAACGATTCTGAACCATGTCATTCAAGGTCTCTAACCATCGGTGACTATCGTCTCGCGGACCCCAACCAGATAGTCTACATCTACCAACATGACTCAGTCCATTTGTCAGTGACTTCATGGATTTGTGCCACGTTTTGGTCTGGCCGTCCCTAACTTTATTTTTACCTACTCCTACAGTGCAAAAATTAGCTCATCGAGGCAGTCGGTGGTTAGGCATACGTAACACATATCCCAACCACCTCAACTGATGAAGTTTCACTACTTCATCTATTAATTTGCCATCCTTACCTAGTACTCGTTTCCTAACGACAGTATTGCTTATACGGTGGTCCCATGATACACGAGCAATGCTTCGGAGACACCGATGATCGAACACTAGTAACCTACGGAAGTCCTCTACTCTTACATGACTTAGTTTTTTGAAACCATCAACCAATTTATAGTATGCCTACATAATAAATGAGCCTATTAAGAGGTTCAAATGTTAGATACACAAACATTACTTCTTCAAAAATATTTCGTAATCACCAATAAAAGCTTATTCCTGCATCAATGTTTGCGTTGTTCAAAACATTTCATAGTCAGTCAGTTACAACGTAGAACCTTGTACGTACTTAAATCAGTTCGGATTGTCACACCACGTTAGTACAGAGACGCAACTATCAATTCAAATCCCATAGTAGTAGAGGTAGCAGAAGTGTTATCGGTAGTCGAAAAGATTAGGAATCGAACATATGATTTAAGAAGTATAATCCAGTGGAATAAAGGTAAAGTGATGAACAATGCAGAAGGTATGGATTTGAGAAGACACAAAGATTGAATACACCTGCGCAATTGCAAATCGTTTTGAGCCATGTCATTCAAGAACCCTAACCATCGATTATCATCATCTCGTGAACCCAAACCAGGTAGTCGATAACTACCAACAAGACTTAATCCAGTTGTCAGTGACTTTATGGATTTGTGCCATGTTTTGGTTTGGCCACCCTTAGCTTTTATTCCACATACTTCTACATAGAAAAACATAGTTCGACGAGGCAGACGGTGGTAGGGCATTCGTAACACATGCACCATTCAAATAATACTTGGAGATATCTTGGAGGACGTAAAATCCTTTACATATTTGGGCAACATCACTGTCGAGAAAGGTGGATCCGATGCAGATATGAAGGCACGGATCGGGGAAGCAAGGATAGCACTTCTACAACTGAAGAATATCTACAACTCAAAACATCTGTCAATCAACACCGAAGTCATAATTCTCAATGCCAATGTCAAGACAGTTCCAATGTGTGGGGCAGAAACTTGGAAAACTAGCAAAGCCAACATCCACAAGATACAAGTATTTATTAACAGTTGTCTACTCAAAATACTTCGGATCCGTTGGTCGGACACCATCAGCAACAACCTACTGCGAAGGAGAAAAAACCAGATTTCAGCGGAGGAAGAAATCCGAAAGAAGCACTGGAAGTGGATAGTACACACATTGAGGATATCACCCAACTGCGACACAAGGCAAGCCCTCACTTGGGACCATCGAAGTCAAAGGAAAAGTGGAAGACCAAGGAACACATTATGTTAAGAAACGGAGACAGACATGGACAAGAAGACAGAGTAGGTTGGAGAATAAAGGTCGGCAGCCTATGCTCCATTGCGGGGTAACAGGCGTAAGGAAGTAATTGATTATGAAATTTTAAATGATAACCGAAACAGGCTTAAAATATGAACTGGAAAAAAACTCCCTACCTGTTCATAAGCTACTTCTATATTATCTCCAATTGAATCAACTATTGTTCCTTGATCATGAATATATGTAGCAAGTGTTGTGAAAAGTTCATTGACTTGAACTATATCAGATTCTAATTGTTCCATTTCATGTGCTCGCTGAATGTCTGCTTTTGATTCTAAAGAAACTTGTTTCTGTTCTAGTGGTTCTTCTAAGGAGAGTAGAAATGAAAAAAAAAATTACAACATAAATAGAAAGGTTTTTCAATCTATGTTGACAAAAAGAGTATATATCACAGTTTGAAAGTTGATAAACAGCTGAGAGTAACATAAACCATAAGTTATCATTGAAAATGTGAAATTTAACTCAACCATAGTGTTACACATGCACTTAAACACGTCAACTTGATATGCTTGAATGCTATTACGAGTTTATCTTAGTCAGAAATAAGAGCGAGGATCCGGCGACACGACATGCTACTCTAATCCCAGTGTCCCAACTCCCATATTGAGTAAAAAGAAGAAGACTTGATATGAAGTAGAACCTGTATTCTACAAGCATCCAGAAAGTACGAGGTCCAAGTCCAGAAAAGAATCAGGATCCCGGACTAGCAATCTGGGTCCGGGTCATAAAACATTACAGATAATGCGTATTTATACATTTAGGTCGAATAGGAAACAGCATCGAAGTCTGTGACATTGATAGTCAGGACAAACATAAAGTTGACCAGTAGTAATCAACCAATAATTCTCTTAGGATATTGGATAAATATTCTAACACGTAGTACCTCCACATATATTTGAGTTCGCTTATATTTAATTTGGTCAAGCCTTTCGATTAACTTATTTAACCAAGGCGTTTGGATAGCAACAACTTATATCTACCATCAGTTTTTACTATTGTATGGTTTGTATAAGCTGGTACGACTGAATATTGCGTACACCTATACGCTTTAATGTCACTTTCTTAAATATCTCGATGACTCGACATTTCCATGTGTATATATACGAACGTTTTAATCTTATTAATTCATTCACCTATTCGCCAATTCGCTCGCTACTGTGCTTTTCCCCTGCTCTGCGTGCTTGTGGTCTGCACATCCATTTGTGGTGTGTCAAAATAAACGTATACAACCCCTCGTGTTTATGCCTTCTGATTTATAACTGTCAGGCGCTATTTGGTGGCGATTGCCTAGACAAGTAAATTACAAAGACTAAGAACACGTTGAATATCAACCGTCACGAAATTAGTGATACATTCCTAGCACGCGTCCTGTTTATACAATAAAATCTACAGAGATTTGGTGCTAATCATATCCCTCAAGTAGCCAAGAAAAGAATATCTTGCCTATATCGAAAATTGCCAAGTCAAAAGCAAGCTTTATGAATTAGTTCATACTCTACCAACCAATCAGTTACAGCATAGAACTTGGCAAATCTCATACTAGTAGAGGTTGTAACAGTATTAGTGGTAATAAAGATTAAGGAATAGCTTAAGGTCACTAAATCGACGATCTAGGTTGTCACATCAAAGAGAAACAATGAGTAAAATAAAGACGTTAAGGAAAAGTATGATCGAAATAACTTACGATCAAGTGTGAAGATACCCATTGATGGATACTTTTCTTGATAATTGACTGAATGTGCATTTTTGTCATTACGAACAAGCTGTTGAACAACAACGCCTAGTCTTTGTAAACGTCCTAATTGATTGATAGCTTGATTGTTAAGAGTACGAGCTCGTGCTCGTAGTTCAGGAATATGCGACCCAACTGCAATCGCTCTATAAATCGATCAAATAAAATGAAGAATTTTAAGTTGAAATTACCTTTTTTAGACCAAACCAAACAAATAAAACAGTATATTTGTAGTCTATCACTGAAAGCTCTATCATCTAGAATAATGGCTCACAACTAAATAGGCGATTTAAAGGGAATCAAGTAGTTGATAAGCTGAAATGTGTGGAAAAAATTGATTTGTAGGGAACTAGTCAGTCAGCCAGCTACAACGTAGACCTTGGTACGTACGTTCAAGTTACCACACCATCTTAGCACAGAGATGAAAATGACAATTCAAATCACATAGTAGTCAAGGTAGTAGAAGTGAGGGCAGTAATTAAAAAGATTAAGGTTCAAAGATATTATTCAAGGAGTATAGTACGGAGGAATAAATTTTGAGAAGAGAAAGATGAAATTGTCACTACAAATCCCCGAGCATTGGATATATTAACAGTAGTAATAGATTAGGCATATAAATTACAATTCAGAAAACGTTACTTAGTAAAATAATGGGTAGAAAAACTGATGAGGAATTCAGAACGTAAGAAGAGGCAAATTTCATACACCTGTGTTACTGAAAACGATTTTGAGTCATGTCATTTAAAGCCTAAACCTATTGGTTACGATAATCGGCCGGAAGTCTGCACCTACAAGAATGGTTTAGTCTGAAAGTCCAAGTCTTCATGAACTGACATTATTTTGTTTATTAAACCGCCCTAAGTATTCAACTAATCCAAATTGGGAATAGCCAATGTTGTGAGTCGAAGGGTGAGCATGTGTAAAACTGGTTCCAACCACCTCATCAATTTATCTCACATCTAACACTCTGCCTCTAGCCTCAGAGTTCCTGACTCGCTAGTCTTAAAACATACGAATAATGGTTTGGAGTAACATATAGCCAAATACTAACAGCCTTGTAGCGGTTAGAAGACTATTTTGTGAGCGTCTTCACTAAGTAGGGATATATCATTTACAGATTCGAAGTCACCGATAGAATACTCTGCTGGAAGAATAATTTCTAATGAGTAAAGGGATGAATATTAGTTATGAATGGGCAAAGAGGACAACCCTGACAAAAACTACCCATAGTTAACTATTATGATAATAGTTCCCCTTGAGTTTTGACTCAACCCAAAGCATCCGACTAGATTCTGTACGAGATCCAAACATTTTAGGTTTCCCAGAGAGATTCGACCAGAAAACCTGTCGATCTAAGAAGTAAAACGCTGACTTAAGTTTGAGAGGTATTTCAGTAATAATGGACTCAATAAACCTTTACATAGAGTACTCATAATTGTCTACAGTTAGTCAATAAACTCAGCTTAGGTCTCAAATTATTAAAACTTTACTTGGAATTCAAGTAAACGTTTAACGCTCGACTATTATTTTGTGAAAATGAACTTACTTTTGAGTAGTTGACAAGTGAAATAAATCTTTGGTTGAAAGTATTAGTTTGTGATATTGCTCATTGAGAGTTTTAACGTCACTAAATCCACTCGTTGTACGCTTCAACAATTCATCAAGTTGATCTATATCCGACTTGATTTTGATAATCCTCTGTTCAGTGTTAGCCAGTTCCTTTTCCCCATTAATCGCATCCATTTCGAGAGATCAGTCAATGTTTCCAGGTACAAAACAAGAAGATAAGCGATCTCCTGGTAAATATAGTTCAATCTAAAATGAAGAAAAGCAGTTTAGAGTCTGTATAAAATAAGTAAATCGTCTTACATTGAATTTAAGGACGTGGCCTAGACTTTTGAAATAAGTACACAATATCATAGAACAAAACACGGGAAATAATTTTTGCTCTGTGTCAACCCTGTTTTTGTAGTAATATGTATAAATAAATGCTGTTAATCTTTTTCAGTATAATTCATTTCAGTCTTTTTTTACCTTGTTCTCAAGGTTTACGTTACAGTGGAGGTTAAGGTCGCCTACTGTGAGTTCGGTACTTATGGAAGTTGCATGTACCGATGAGGTTAAGGTTTATAAAGACGAGGGGGAGGAAGATGAGCAGAAAAAGTCATCAGAAAATCTAACTGAAGACAAAGTTGGTCTTGTAATTGAGGGTGAAGGTCAGGTATGTGCTAACAACTCTTTTGTATATTCCTACTCTTTTAAATTGCAAATGAAGTAAAACCAATGTTTATGAACCTCGTAAATGTGTTGTACCACATCAGTTATGTCTGTTTCTAATAGTTTTTAGCCCTTCAATACTATATATTGTCAGTGTTTCAGTAAAGCCCACCAGTATAAAAAATGTGAATTTCATATGAAACTTGGTCATCCAGTACTGCCTATCTTATACTTCAAAGTCTTAACTCGGTTGCTCTATATTACACCGCAAATGTTTCTTAGGTCTGTCTGCCCCGGATTATTTCCTCCCTAAAATATCATGTTCCTAGCCTCTGATTTTTGTTTGTACGAAGATCACCTACAACTAGTCAAACTCCCTTCTACCAAAGTACAGGGTCTTTAAGAAAATTCATTCTCAAGTACTTGTTATAACATTTGTATTAGGAAAATAAAAGGATAATTAGGCAAATTAGGAGAAAGCAATTAGGAGAACACTATTGATGACACTATATCAGGTATATCTAGGGCAGATTCAAACTGAATAAAAATTTTTCGAACATATGGTTCAGGTTTAGTTTTACATCATATCTCATTTTCTAAGCGTGGTATCAAACTTAATTTTCTTTTCTTACGAGACCAAATGACTACAGTCATTAGTGTCTCATTAAGTGTTCAATTATCACACTAATTAGTGGCCTAAACAACTCTTATATCCCTGAAATATTGCCTTAATTAGATCTAATATAGCTTCTGCGTCACATTCTGTGATCTCGGTTACGATATACGTCAAGTGTTGCGTTTATCTTTTTGACCATGTGCTAAATTGAATCTATTTTCGCTTCGTTGTAAATGGAATAATTGTAAAGCGGCTATTCATTCAGGTGTTCCCTCTGTTTTATTCCGAGTGTACGAATTTTATATTGATGGCTCTTCATTTACCAAGGATACATATTTCTGAACGACACTTGAGTGTACTCCATGATATTATGCCATCATTGTTAATGTATTTAACATTGTATCATTTACTACTTATCTTTCTTGAAGTTTTATCTTGTCTGAGCTATCATAAATCACTGAATTGTTAGTACTCAAGTTTTTTCACGAATGTGATAACTGATCCCGCTGTTCTGGCGTCAGTCAGTCAGTAGCAACGCGAAACATAGTACGTACATGCATCAATTCAAGTTATCATACCCTGTCAACACAGATTAAGAAAACTGTTACATAAAATCTTAAACCAGTCAAAGTAGTAAGTGAAAAGATTGGGCATCAGAGAGACAATCTAAGAAAATATAAATTAACTAAAGTAAAAAAAGGTTACGAGGAATTCGAAAGTTTAGAATATGGAATAAGACAAAGTATCGATGCACTTGCACAATTCCGAATGATTTTGAGCCATGTTGTGCAAAGTCTCTAATCCCTCGTTACAGTTATAACACACAATTCAACAAATCACTTAATCTGCACCGATTAACATGACCTCGTCCGATGGCCAACAAAGTTATGGATTAGTACTATGTCTTGGTTTGGTCGCCCAGAGATTTCTTCCAGCCTACTTCTATATCAGCCAGCATCACTCGTCCTGGTAGGTGGTGGTTGGGCATACGTAACACATGTCCCAATCACCTCGATTGGTGACGATCCACTGCTTCATCAATTGACTTGCCATTATTACACAGTACTCTATTGCCACCCTGATCATTGCTTGCTCGTTGGTCCCAAAGTACACAAGCAATGATACAAAGACGCCTGCGATTGAATACTGGTAGTATAGGAATCGCCTTTATTCTTAATGACCATGTTTCACACCCACAAGTTAGAATAGAGTGAACAGCTGCACAGTGAACTCGAATTTTGGTCGACAGCCAGATATCTCACCTACTCTTCACATGATGCAAGTTAGCAAAAGTCAATTGAATCTCTTGTTTCCATCTCGAAATTTCACTAGACACCATTTCTCACTGAATATTGTCACCCTAAATGTCCCCATTTGCACGCATATCGAATAGCAACCAATTATGAACGTGACTATGAGAATTCCCAAAATATTTTCCGACCTCTCCGAGCTACTGTGAAAATAAAGCTTAATATTTGATTCTACTTTAATAGATAATCTGTACAGGTGTCTTGAACTCTAGGTAGGGTGATTCGATAGATAGTTTTACTGGACCGTCATTTCAGCTACTTATTTACTTTGATCACTTACTATCGATCCAGTCAGCAAAGTGGAGTTCACAATAAAGCTCCTAATTCTAAAGCCCCATACGGGGGTTTAACTGCGGATATCAATTCCCGGCTGCCCACACCGTGGAAGGGTGTGTTCCTAAGGAACCTGAAAAGGAAGGTAGATTAGTGTTGGTCTTAGGGACTTGGGAGCGTTACCACAGAGCCCAAGGGACAACTACTTGAGGCTTGTCACGCACGGCCTTTTTATGAGAAGCTTTTGGTGTTAGCTCCGCTTTTGATTAAAAGGTCTTACCACCAGAGACGTAAATCCATGAGATAAGGTGAGGTCGACCTTTTCTAACCCTTCCTTCCTTGTAAGAAGGCAACATCACTGCAGATGCTGGTTGTCCGGGGAGAACACATTACTGCTACTGTCACACCCTTCTGCAGTCAGCAGTACGACTTCGACCTCGGACCTTGAGTAGCTGCTTATAGTCTGATCGTTCTCCAGTCGACCAGCCTGGCGCGGTAGAACCTTCAGGAACATATGTTCCAGCCAATATAACTCGGTTGGGTCATCACGATAAGCAAGCTTGACCACCACGTCAAGGTAGCAGCTACGGTCGGGTTATTATTATTATTGGTAGTAGTAGTAGTAATAGTACTATGGTATTTAGGCTGACAAATCCACTTTCTTTCTATACTAATCTAGTATGACAACTTGAATTAATGTGTACATACATACATACCACACATGGTACATTGTCGCCGACTGACTGACTGACTGACTGACTAAATAGTAGTGGTAGTTCTTGTTCCAGTCACAATTTCACAAGTTGGTCGAGTTCTTTTTTTTTATTCCTTCCGTATTTTATCAACTTATTGCATTTTAGACTAATCTGGTTGGTTGGTTGGTTGTATGATATATGTATTGCCATCTTATTCATTGTTATGCAGACTTGTATTATTTTTTTTATTGCTAATTCCTATAGTGTAACCAATTAATAATTATAGCCAAATTATTCTTGCTCATTTCTATTTCTTTTTTTTTTTCCCCATGTAATAATAAGTCTGCTTTCTAAATCATCATTTAATTGAAGTGAAGTGAATGTAGGAGGTTGAAAAGAGAGAAATATTAGTTTTTAATATGGTCTGATGAATTTATACGATATGATATGATATGTATATATGTGTATATATCTATATATGTAGTTATCGAGATTGTTTAAAGTGATGCTTAATTTCACTAAGTTCTTTTTAATTCTAGTCTGTTTTTTTATTAAAAAAAGAGTTAAACTAGAAAAATTTTACAACTTCTTCAAAATGAGATGTCTTCCTCTTATGTTTTCGTTTGTTTGTGTTAAATTTGAGTTTCTATTTTATACATTTCATGTCTCTATGTTTTCGCATGTGTGTGTGTGTGTGTGTGTCTTTTTATTTCCAGTCAAAATTCTTGTTTTTTTAAAAAAATTCTATATATTAATACTACTACTATCAGTGTCGATGGCCTGGTGACTGACGAAATCTTAGCACGGATACAGAAGGCTCGATTAGCTTTTGCCAACCTGCGTCACTTATGGCGTTGGCGAGATATCCGTTTGCTGACTAAAGGACGAGTGTACTGCGCAGTAGTTCGCTCCACCCTACTTTATATCTGTGAAACATGGCCAGTAAGAGTAGAAGATATTCGTAGGCTACTGGTTTTCGATTATAGATGTCTTCGAAGCATTGCTCGTATATCGTGGGACAACCGAGGAAGAAATAGAGTTGTTAGAAAACGACTATTAGTTAAGGATGGCAGATCGATAGATGAAGTATGAAAATTGCATTAGCTGAGGTGGTTGGGACATGTGTTACGTATGCCTAACCACCGACTGCCTCGTCGAGCTTTGTTTTATAGTGTAGGAATAGGTTGGAAGAAAGTTAGGGGCGGCCAAACCAAAACATGGCAGAAATCCATGAAGTCATTGATGAGTGGACTTAGCCATGTCTGTAATTGTCGACTACCTGGTTGGTGTCCGCGAGATGATATTAAACGATGGTTAGAGACCTTGAATGACATGGCTCAAAATCGTTCGCAATGACGCCGGTGCATTTATTCTTTGTATTCTCTCAAATCCTAATCTTCTGAATTCGTCAACCCCTCTATTTTTGACTTTCTAAACTTATCTCTCTGAATCATACTTCTTGAATAATATCTTCTAATCCTAACCTCTCCGATTACTTCTAATACCCTTACTAACTCTTCTACTATTGGATTTGAATTGATAATGATATCTCTGTGCTGATGTGGTATGGCGATATGAACTGATGTACTTACGTACAAAGTTTTACGTTTCAACTGACTGACTGCAATGTGTGTCCTATCCACTTCCAGTGCTTCTTTCGGATTTCTTCCTCCGCTGAAATCTAGTTTCTTCTCTTTCACAGTAGGTTGTTACTAATAGTATCTGATCAAAGGATCCGAAGTAGTTTGCGCAGATAACTGTTTATAAATACTTGTATCTTGTGGATGATTGCTTTGGTAGTTCTCCAAGTTTCCGCCCCATACAATAGAATTGTCTTGACATTTGTATTGAAAATTGTGGTGAAAATTGGTGTTTGTTGATAGTTGTTTGCAGTTCCATATGTTGTTCAATTGTAGAAATGTAACCCTTGCTTTGCCGATCAGCGTCTTCACATCTTCATCAGATCCACCTAGCTTCTTAACGATGCTACCCATATGTATAAAAGTGTATACATACTCTAAGGCATCTTTATCAAGTGTTATAATAATTTGGTTTTCATTGTAAACAGATCTGTCTCGTTTGTCACATACACCATCATTGAGGTTTAAGC